AAATGGGCAAAAATCTATACCCTTCTTGAACTTACACAGGGTTGAGGGAGATGAAAAACCAAATGTATACTATTTAATTTGTAATAAGTGCTACAAAAAAATAAAGCAAAAAAGAAAGTTAGGCAGTATTGAAGAGGTCCACTTTTTTAAAGGGTGGCCAGGGGTACACACATACACACACACACATACACACAAGAAATATTTGAGCTAAGACCTGAATGCTGTAAGACTGAGCCAGGAAGGCATCTGGAAGAAGAATGTTCCTGAAAGAGCAAATAGCAAATGCAAAGGACATGAGATGGGAGCTTATCCGGGTGTTCAAGAAACAATGAGTAGACCAGTGTGGTCAAAAAGGACCCTGAGGGAAGAAGGAGGAAATAAGGGTAGAAACATGGGTAGGGGATGGGAAAGCAGATCTTGTAGGGCACCCTAATCAGCCATGGTAAGGACTTTTGCTATTACTCAGATCTGTCACCATTGAGGCTTTTGAACAGAGGAGTGGTGTGATTTTCCCCATGTATTCCACAATACTCAATTCTCAGAATCTTTTAACCTTACCAGGATCTTCAATCCACTCATCCAACCTCATTGTCCATCCTATAATCACTCCCTTACAAATTCCCTCAACTCCGTTGCCTCTCTCACTCTGCCGTGTTCATCTGGAAAAAAAAAATTCCTAGTTAAATCCGACTTTGGGCCTACTCTCTACCTGCACTCCCACAATTAACTGCAGCTGGAAACCAGCACCCAAACATACTGACTTAAATTCACAGTTACTAAATCAAGCTTTTAGTGTGCCCTGGCAGTCCTGCTACATTCCTTTACCTCGTTATCCCATGAGACTATTTCACAGCCTCTCTTCTTTTGACAAACGCCTCTCACCTCTTCCCAACCCTATCAGTTTATTTCTATTCCCTCACAAAACACAAACAAAAGAAAACTTCCACACCCTTCCAGTTCCATGTTTACCAGCCTACCCCTATCTGCACATATACATCTGCCTTCCCTCCTGCTACTGTGGGAAGGTTGTCCTCACTCATCTCTCAGGCCTATGCTTCTGCTTAGACAATGGATCTTGTATCCTTTTATCCACTCAAGGATCTCCCTCAAGCCATTGTTCCTTCTCTATCCTGAATTACCAATTTTTCTCCTTTCTACTGGGTAATTTCTATCAACATACATAATTTTAATCATTTCATCTTTAACTATATGTATTTTTTATTCTACTTCTCCTTCTACCAAATTCCATTTCTCTGTCCACTTTAAAGCTTGTCTATATTCATTGTTATGGGTTCATTTACGTCCCATCAAAACTTTTATGTTGAAGTTAAACCCTCACCACCTCAGAATATGACCTTATTTGGAGATAGCGTCATTGCAAATGTAATTAGTTAAGACAAGGTCACACGGGAGTAGAGTGGGCCCCTAATCAGATATGATTAGTGTCCTTGTAGAACACAGACACACACAAGTGAAGATGAAGGCAGAGATCAGGCTGATGCAACAAAAGCCAAGGAACACCAAAGACTCCCAGCAAACTCCAGAAGCTAGGAGACAGGCATGGAGAGAGTTTCCCTCAAATCCTCCAGAAAAAGCCAACCCTGATGCCACTTCGATCTTGGCGTTCTAGCCTCCAGAAATATGAGACACATTTCTGTTTTTTAAGTCACCTAGTTTGTGGAACTCTGTTTACGGCAGCCTTAACAAACGAATACAATGGCAATCTGATTTTCTCCTCCTGTCTCTTCTCAACCTACTCCATTCAGGTTTTGCCTCCACTATTTCAATAAAACAACTCATTTCTAAGTCTCCAATGGCATCCACATTGTTGAACAAAGAGGCTGATGTTTAATCCTTTGTTAATTGACTTATCAACAGAAACAGTTGTTCAACCAACTTTCTTGACATACTTTCTGCGCTTGCCTTCGAAGACACCATTTCCTTAAATATTCCTTCTACCTCATAAGTTGTGCCATCTAAATTCTTAATACTGGTTGCTCATCTTTCTGTTTTTCATTTAATATTATTATATGTGTGATATGCAGGCAAAATAATATGTCTATGTAATATACATGTAGAAGTAAAGTTCATATGCTCTGTTCAATAATTATAAAGTCTTTAAGCACCACCTACACAAAGACATAGAACATTCTGGAACTCCAGAAGCCCTTTATGTATGTACCCTTCCTAATGCAAACCTCTTCTCACTCAGAGGCAACAATTCACTTAAATTTTATGTTAACACATTTTCCATAAGAGAGACATGTTTACATTTCCCACCATGATTGTGTACTTTATTCTTTTTATAAGTCTATCAACTTTCGCTTTATATATTTTTAGACAATACTATGAGAATTATAACAAATTTAAATTCTCATATTATCACAATGAACTAGGCCTTTTATCATTTTGAAATAATTCTCATTATCTCTAGTAACACTTTTAGCATTAATGTCTGTTTTTTCTAATAATAATTTAGTTGTGCCAACTTTCTTTTGGTTGATATTTCTATTTTTTGGCTTTCAAACTCTCTGAGTCCTTAAAAATTTTAGATGAACTCTGGTAAATAGCATATGCTACTAGATGGAATTTTAATTTAGGCTAATAATCTTTCTAATTTTAACTTGAACATTTAGGACGTTTACATTTAATGCAATTTTACTAACATTGTGAGGTTTAAATTTGTCATCACCTCTTGCTCATTGCATTCATTCCATCTCTTTTGTTCTCCTTCCTTTTCTCTCCTTTCTTGCATCCATTTGAATTGCCAATACTTTTATTTCATTCTATTACACTTTCTGTGGGTTTGGCAATTGTACTTTCTGTGTTCCTTTAGAGACTGTTCTGGGAATTATAATATGTACACTTAAATGATCAAAGTCTAAAGTTAATCAAAACTTTCACATTGTTTTCAGATAATATAAAAACTTTAGAAAATTGACATTTTGATTCTTTTTTTTAAATCACTACATATTATTACTGCTTCATACATCTAATGTTTATGTTTTTCCACATATTTTCTACTTTCTTTGCACATAATTCCTTCTGTTCCTCAGTCTCATCTGGCATAACTTTCTTTTTACTTAAAGTACATCCTTTAATACCTCCTAGTGATAAAAAAAAAAAAAAAAAACTTCAGTTTTTGTTTATATTAAAGTGGTTTTATTGTGTTCCCATTCTTGAAATATATTTTTGCTAGGCATAGAATATTAGTTTGGTAATCCTTCTTTTTTGGCATATTTAACACACCTTCTGACTTCTTGCTGTTTAAAAGTCATCATTTTAATTGCCACTTCTTTGAAGTCAACTTTTTTTTCCTCTGACTGCTTTTAAGATTTCTACTGTTATTTAATTTTTATATTTTCATTTTATGCTTCTGATTCACTTGAATCTGTGCATTAAGTCATTTCAATCAATTCTGGAAATATATCATGTATTATGTCTTCAAATATCACTTCTGCCTGATTTTCTCTGCTTTTGGGGGATTCTGATCTCTATCTCCTCCATGTCCCTTACTCTTTCTTCTGAATTTTCTATCTTATTTTTTCTTCTGTGTTATATTTTAGATAATTTCTTCTGATATATATAGTACTTTACTTGTCTGATGAGTCTAATCTGGCCATACATATCCACTGAATTTTTAATGCTAATTATTGAATTTTCCATTTTGGGAAGTTCTATATATTTTTTCTGCAAATCTGTTGTTTTTATAGATGCTTGTTCTGTTAATATTTTTAAACATGTCATTTATTTCTTTAAACCAGGAAACAATTGTTTCAGAATCTGTGCCTGATAATTATACATTTGAAGTGTTTATGGCCTATTCCTATATTTTTGGGGTGGTAGGGGTGTGAGTAAGCAGCTGGTTCTCATTTATGTTGCCTTATTTCTTTGTGAGCTTGCTTACTGTTACCTGCACATTGAGAAATAATTTGTAAAGAGTGCCCGAGGTCTAGAATGAATGGTCTTCCTCCAGAGATGCTTTTTGCTTTCTTCTGCCAGGTCCCCTGGAAAGAAGACCACTTTCAGCCAACTGCATGGCCTGAGGTGGCCCAGTACTCCCAGGGAACCAGTATAGGCAGATGTATATCTACACAAAGGCCAGTTTGTTGTCACAACTTCTCAGGAATGGGTTATCTTTTTCTTCTTTTTGCTTCCTGCTCTGTTCAGTAGAAAGGCAGGCTTCTCCACAGTCCCATCACTGTGGCAGGGAGGCAATAGGGTTTCATTACTTTATCCTCCCTTTAGGTTTAACCCTTTGGAGTTCCAGCTTAATGTTGGGAAAGACTTCTTTAAGACATCCCATTGGCAGGAGGCCCTGGGCATCTGCCTCTTAACTGAAGCCCAAGTATGCAGTGTCAGCAAACTTCCCACCTGGTGAGGTGCAGCATGCCTGTAGTTCCAGCTACTCAGGAGGCTAGGGGAGGAAGATCACTTGAGCCCAGGAGTTCAAGGCCAATCTGGGCAACATGGCAAGACCCTATCTCTTAAAAAAAATAATAATAATAAGACCCATGTAAAAGACTTGCTACTCTCCAAATCTGCCATGTTATTGCTTACCCCCAGACCTTTGCACACACCCCTCCTTCCTCTTGTTCATATAACTCCTATTTGCTTTCTTCAAAACTAAGTTGAGAAACCACTTGCTCCAGGAATCTTTCCTTGATTACATATTAGTCCAGGTTTGATGCCTCTCCTATTTTTTTCTCACAGCATGCTGTGCATATGTCTACCACTGCAATGATCAAACCCATAGTGAATGTGTCTGGTTTACTTGTCTGTGGTCCCCCAGTAGCTGGTAAATATCTTCAGGGAGCTAGGATCAACTTATTCCTCATTATTTCCCAAGTTCTTGCATAGTACTCAATAAATAACAGGCATTCAATGTCCTTACTTGAATGAATGAATGAATGAATGAATGAATGAATGAATGAATTGTGTGTAAAGAACATTTGAAAAGACAAATTTCAAAAAAAAAAAAGGCTCTAAAAGTCTGCAACACAGCTATTTTATTTGAATAAACTTACAGTCTCTCCGGGAGATTCCTTTGAAGGGGACAAATAATATGGTTGCTTGCAGATGTCTGCAAGTATGTGGTGTTTTTTATAGTTTCCTCCTCTTTTGCTACAAACCTCCTCGAAGGTTTAATCTATTGTTCAGAGGAAAAATAAAACCCAAACCTAAAAGGCAGCAGGGATTGTAAATAGCTCGTTTATATCTGGGCAGTGAGAAAGGCATTATTTTTGACTCCACTCTTCTTCCTATCATTTTTCCAAAGACAGACAATTGGCTTGCCAAACAGAATAATCACCGTCCTTCCTGTGGCCCTTCCAACACTGCGGGTGGATAATATATAGGCCTTGAGAGTTTATCTCCCCATCATCCCTTCTATCAACTTTGGCATTGTCTCTGCTCCCCTTTAAATGGAAGCCTCAATGGACACTATAGATCATAAGACTTCCACCAAGTGCTCCAATATGAACAATTACTAAAAACATTTATAAATGGTTTGCTTTATGGGAAAAAAATGCATCATTTATTATGTGATATTTATCCTAGTTAAAATGAAGTTCCTCCAAATGCAGCATTTGTGATTTACAGAGAAGGGGGAAGAGAAGTGAGAGAAAGAGAGTTGGGACTGTCCATTTGAAGAGATGTCCGATCTAGGCAGAAAGCCAGCAAACCATTTCAGTGCAAACGAGCAGTTCTTCGGTGTTCTCTGCTTTGTGTCCAAATCTCTTCCTAAGTCCACCATCCACATCCACTGGCTCTATTGAGTCAAAACTTCCTGGGAAAAGATCATATAAAACATTAAAAAGAGAGTCAAAAGCAAATTTATTTCTTGTCAACAGAAGCTCTTAGGTCAGCCTGGGTACCCTGTCCAACATCTTTTGTATATGCCTCAGAAGATTTGCAGATGTGAGTCTATCAAATTACTTTGAGGATGAGTTGAAATGTAATCACCCTGGCCAGCCCAGTTTTCAGTGACCATAACAGAATGAGCTGCAGTATAACCCCCAAGATCTCAGTGCTAAACACAACAAACATTTATTTCTCACACACTCTACATGTCTAATGCAGATCAGGGATGGTGGGTGGTGTCTGGATCATTTTAGTCACTCTAGGACACAGGCTAATAGAGAATTCCTCTCCATGTGTGCTTCACAACCACCATGGCATGAGAAAAGCAGTATGGTAGATCACATGCTGGCTGTTCAAGCTCTGCAGAAAGTGACATCACACCTAGTCACCTCATTGGCCAAAGCAGGTCACATGGCTAACCAAGCTTCAAAGGGGATGGAGAAGCATCATCTTACCCCATGCCCAGAAGGCCAGGCGAACAAGAATGTTTGTGAACTGCTTTATTTCAATCAGAGTGACCCTTCCCACATTTTCATATGCCGTGCCCTAAGCTCTTTTAGTGGATACTCTCTTTAGCAGACTCTCTCAAAGCTGAAAAAGAGGTGAGCCCACCTTGGGAGGGAAATAATTGACTTTTCTAAAGCAGAAGACTAACCACATAAGGATGCTGCAGAGGGAATTCAAGCACCAGGGTGAAGACTGAGTTAGACTGACTGGTAAGCCCTTTCCGAGCCAGATTCTATGGTTCCAGGATATAAAGGAATGTTAACCTAGGCTATTTTTGTTAATTAAGGCTAAAAAGTTGCCAACTCAGGCTAAAGATAGAGCAAATAAACCATAGTGGAATTTTTTGGCTTTGAATTGTCTGGGTAAATTATCTTGATGCTTATTAATTCATTCAACAATGAATGAATTACTTAATGTGTGCCAACAAAGGAGGAAGATGTGATGGGTGCTACCATGATGGGAAAAATATTTATTAAGCAGTTGTTTGTAATTCCTGAGTTCCAAGGAAGGTGGATATTGAGAATGATCTTTAATTTTGTTGAACAAGCATTAAAGTTAGGTATACAAACTGTGAAAGAGAAGTCTAGTTTGCAACATGAGAAAAGTGATAAAGACATCTGGAAGGAAAAATCCCAGATAATGGGAGGAGATTGGAAAGTGTGTGGCTAAGAAAGGGCTGTGAATGAAGAGACAAAAAGAGAAGTAGGCAAGGGAGTAGGTGTCAGGAAGGAAGAACAGCAAACAGGGCAGTTTCCCATGAATGAGACCTTTGGGAAAGGAGGCGAGGCATTTAAAGGGGATGGAGGGATAACTTTTGTTGTGCAGAGTATAATATAATTCTCTGTTCTCAAAGCCCTCCTACCATAAGCTAGGAATATTTTACAATATATAATTGTATTTTGGGGAAATTGATGATATACCTAAATTGGCCCCATGAATAATCCAAGGTCTTTGCAGTTTATCTTGACCAGCATTTAAAAAAAAAAAATAAAGCAAAAATACAGGTGCAGGGAAATCCAACTTTGTTGAAGAAGAGCAATAGGGAGGGATTCAAAGAGAAGATGTAATAAAGTGAGAGTTTTAAGGGCCTTGGGATGGGATTAATGCATTTGCATGTGGGAGAAATGTGAATCACTGAAGGTCAGAGGGTGGACAGTGGCAGACAGACTCGAAGAGAACACTCAGTGAGTCACATCCACACGTAATCCCTTCCCCTCGAGTGTGTGTATGAAATACTTGACTTGCTTCTAGCCTAAAGAGTGTTGTCAAAGTGAGAGAGAGTTAATTCCTTGATTGTTTTGTTATACAAGTCTCTGTCTCAGTAAACTATAGCAAAAGATTCTCTTGCTGGCCTTAAAGAAGAAAGCCACCATATTGTGAGGGGACCATGTGGCAATTAACCACAGGGGCCTCTAGGATCTGAGAGTAGCTCCCTCTGACAGTCAGAACGCAAGCAAAATCATCAGTCCTACAACCACAAAAAAAAAAACTGAATTTTATTAAGTACCTCATGAGCTGGGAAGAGGACCATAAGCTTCAGGAAGGAAGGCAGCTCAGCCAACACATTGGTGATAGCCTTTGAGATCCTGACAAGAGGACCAGCTAAGCCATGCCAAGATGTCTGACCCATAGAAGGTGTGAGAAAATACATGTGTGTTGTTTTAAGCTATTAAGTTTGTGACAATTTATTATGCAGCAATAATAAACCAATACAAGAGGTGAGTATCAAGGACTGAATATATGAGCTCACCAAGTGGGAAGAGAAAAAAAGCTCTATAAGCAGAATCAATAGCACTGGGGCATGGGAAATGATGGCTTATTCGGGCACCTGTGAGTGGTTAGGTATGGCTGGCCTAGAGGGAGAGCTACAGGAAGGGTGGGAGATGGGGGGCTACAGAGAGGGGCCAGACCATGGAGAACACACCTTATATCCTACATGAGGGGTTTATGCTTTATTATATATTATACTGAGTGCTCAACAAATACTTTTTGCTCTGTTTTCAGATTTCTAGGACTTACTGAGAGAAAAGACAAGGTATAAATCATGGCTACCCTGGCTGCCTCCTGTCTCTCAGCCTGCTGTCCCATCCCAGGGAGTCCCTCCTCAGTGGAGCAACAACACACAACTGTTCCAAACAACAAACTGCTCCACACTCCTCAAGAGTAGGTAACATTTTCTTGTTTCTGAACCCAACAGCTGAAACCAATCTACTATTTATTTTATTTATTTAATATATATTTCATTTATTTAATATGTATTTTTGAATGACTATTAAGTGGATCCATCACTTTTGTCAACAAAAAGAGACAAACACTGTAAAATATTTAGAGAGGTTTATTCTGAGCCAAATAAATGACCATGGCCCAAGGGATAGTCTCAAGAGGTCCTGAGAACATGTACCCAAGGCAGTCAGACTGCAGCTTGGTTTTATACACTTTAGGGAGACATGAGACATCAATCAATACATCTAATGTATACTTTGGTTCAATCCAGAAAGGTGGGACAACTCATAGTGAGGGCTTACAGTTCGTATGTGTATTCAAAGATTTTCTGATTCATAGATGGTTGAAACAGTAAAGTTACTATATAAAGACCTAGAATCAACAGAAAGGAGTTTCTGGGCTAAGATAAGGGTTGTAGAGACCAAGGTTCTTACTGTGTAGATGAAGTCTTGAAGGTAGCTGCCCTTGGAGGCAATAGAAAGTAAATGTTTTCTATTCAGACACTTAAAAGGAACTAGACCTTTCTGTTAATCTCTTCAGTATGAGAAAAAAACCTGGAAAGGGAAAGGGATTCTCTACACAATGTAAATCTCCCCTACAAGAAACAGCTTTGCAGGGCTATTTAAAAATATGTCTCGAACTCCTGACCCTCAGTGATCTGCCCACCTCAGCCTCCCAAAGTGCTGGGATTACAGGCATGAGCCACCACTACTCAGGAGGCTGAGGCAGAAGAATTGCATGAACCTGGGAGGTGGAGGTTGCAGTGAGCCAAGATCACTTCACTGCACTCCAGCCTGGGCGACAGAGTAAGACTCCATCTCAAATAAAATAAAATAAAATAAAATAAAATAAAATAAAATAAAATAAA